GGGGGGGGGGCAGGGAACTAGAAAAATTCCTTAAGAAAATGATGTCCATTAAAAAAAAGTAAGTGACTGAGAGCTTGATTGAAGATTCATCATCTGAACAAGCAGCTATTGAAAGACAGATAGAAGAGCAGCAGCACCTGGTGTCTGAAAGGCAGCTCAGCTCAGGACTTTGTTGCCCATGTAGCCTCCATGCCCCCAGCTATGGACTGCTGCTGCTGCATCCTTTTTCCTGCCTGTAACACTGCTTACCTCACAGGTAGAAAAAGCTACACAGCCCTGGGCAGGACAGAAAGAGAATGATGTGATCAGGACCAAGTTATGAAGCCAGGAGAAGGGAGATGTGTCAGGAAGGGTCTCTTCCAGGATGGGGGCAATGGAGCTGGCAGAGTTGAGGTTAGAAGTTGGACTGGAATGGGACAGCATGGTGAGGGGGGTGGTCAGGGTGGGAGGGTGAGTAGGGGACCCCTGGGACAAAGGTAACCAGATTTAAAATCATGTCAAGCAGAATTGCCAACCCAATTCTTTTTACTGACAATCTGCAAATGTTTTAGTGACAACCAAACTTGTCTACTGTGGTTGGTGTTAAACCCCTAAATTTGAAATCATCCCTTCTTACTGCCATCCAGAGCCTGGCTGAAGGATTACATTATATTACCAAAAACATATGTCAGTAGAAAAGTTTGGTTGTCTGTAAAAAGTTAGCGGATTGTCAGTGAAAAAGAAAATTCTTGGGTTGGAAACCCTGTCTATGACTGACAGGCCATATAGAAAATACTGTGCTTTTAAAAATTTGTACAACCAATATAATAACATCAACGCTTGTAGCAGATCTTTATGTGAACCCAAAAGTAATTTTCACAACTGTTAACAATCTGGAAGGAGATGCAATAACGAAGAAAGAATGAATGAAAATTTGATGCACCATCAATCTGTAAACTTGGTTCAGCAAAGGAGTAGGGAAAGACCTTTAACATCAGTAAAAATGGCAATTATTTTGTTCTTATGCTGGTTTCTATGTCAATTCAAGCCAAACAGTTTCAGTGAAGATAATCTTACTTACACTGATGTATGTGATAGGTGAATTAGTCTTGATGCCTTCAGTATAATTCAGCTATATAGTGTTGATTCTAAATATGTATTCATACACACACACACACACACACACACACACACACACTTTCCCCTTTTTGGCTAAGTACTGACAGTTGGAGCCTGAGGCTAAATTGATTCAATCTTTGCAGGTTAGTCAAAACTGCATAGACTGAATCAATAAGCAAGTGAATAGACATACATTTTTGATTCTGGAAATGCAGCCATGTGCCAGTAGTAGCAAAGGTAAGAAGCCGAGGGGCGCTAGAGCATGCCTCACTGCTAGGCTGCAGCAGACAACTTGGGCCAAGGGTAGCTTGCCCACGTTGCTAGGCATGGCTTGTGGGGGAGCTTCCAAGCACCCCGGGATGCTAGGGAACTGCAAATTAACTTGAGTCTGGAGGGGATCTAGGACAGAAGTTCAATAAGCCAATTTAACCTA